TGAAACAATTTGGTAACTTGGAATCTACCTTGAAAGGACTGATAGAACAATCTGAAGTCCAGATTAAATCATGCAGCTTGATTTTAAAAACAAAGAGGAGTGAAAGGGATACTGAAAAATTTATCTCCCATTCTTTCAGATCTTTTTGCAATCACTGAAACCAGGATTTCCTGCTGCTCCAGTCCCCTCCCTTCCCCTAGAAGAAGACCTGCCTCCTAGGTCCTGCTAGATGGCACTGCCAGATCTTGCGGAGTGGGCCGAAACCATGGGAGGGGAACTGGCAGTCCTTCAAATCACCAGGGCCTATGTCACGTAGGGCTTTAAAAGTAACGACTGGCATCTTGAATTGCACCCAGAAGCCAAACCAGTAAAGCTCATGGGTCATGGATGTTACATGAGCAGGACATGGCCTGCCCATCACAGCTCATGCCATTATGTTCTTCACCAGCTGCAGCTTCAAAATAGTTTCTAATAGTGCATTGCAACAGTCCAACCACAAGCTGACCACATCATGAGTAACCTGAAGAACCTCCTCTTCCAAAGAAAGATGCACCTGGCAAGCAAAGTAAGGCGTCTTGGCTACAACTACCATGTGTTCTTCAAGCAGGGGCTGTGATTCCATGAGGACCCCTAGATTGCACACAAGATCTGAATGGAGTAGTTTGACCCCATTCAGGGCCAGAGATGGAAATTTGTCACTACCCCATCAATTCATTGGTGGCTTCCATTCCACATTGTTAGAAATAGAGCCAACCCACAGTTTCTGGATAAAAATACAAGAACCACCTTGTATAAACTGAAACCCACCTACCTTGTCAGTAAAGGTTATTGATGCTTAAATCAATGTTCCTCCTTGTTCTATTTACTTTGATTCTGAAAATAGTTCTTTTTTCTTCATTCTACCCTTCATTTACTGCTGTCCAAAACAGCCATTCTAAGCACCGTATACAATCCTAAATTATATAGGTTTACCAGGTCCATAGATAAAAGCATGGGGCCTTCCCAAGATCTCCCTATTACCCTGCCCAGCAACATTTTTTCAATGGGAAACTGACATACTGCAAGGCCCAGCCCAGCCTCTAGCATGATCTTTATTGATGGCCAAATATATTTTTAAGAATGACACTGGCATTCTTACAAAATAAAACAGGAGGAGCAACAGCAATTTGATGCTTTGTTTAGAATTGCAAAGTGGGTATATTTTCGTATGCTGGAAAAGGGTGGGCTTCATGCTTATTTATTCATTATTTGTTTGTTTTGAGGCTTGCTAACTATTTTAAGTTACCTTCTCACCATGCGTTTGGACTAACCTGTATTACTTCTGATCAGTCATAAACTGTTTACCCCAGTCAGCAGTTAACACTTTGCAATTTTAAAAATGGCTGTTTCCAAATTTGTAGGGGGATAAACATTGGCCCCTCTCAAAATGGAGCAGCATTTCTTGTAGATGTAATGGTGCTCCTCAAATGCACAGTTAGAAAGACTTTGTGGGGGGGAAAACATGGTGAAATGAAATCTCATAGGGGTGCATGAGTTATCTAAGATCTAATTCCAATCATTGATTTGACTGGATGGCTGGAGTTGATTCATTGATTGAAACTGTTGATTTAGCTTGATTCAACATGCTAATTGAAATCATGAATTTGACAATAAGCAGGCACATTATGCAGAAGTCTAATGAATTGCTCAATTGATTTAAAAGTTCAGTTCAATGGGGCAATTTGAATTGAAGGATGATTTGAATGACTTGCCTTAGCATCAAGTTTTTGCATCAGATATTCACACAATGCTAGGCAGCCACTGGGTTTTCGAAGGTGTTTTGATAATATAAGAAAATAACCATTGTCGCATAATAAAAGGCAACAATATACAAAATCCATGGGGGGCGGGGAGCAGGAATGTATAACCAAGATTGTCTGAGATTTTTCCATCGCTAGCTTTCACAAATGGTTTTTCTTAGGTCTACTGAGGAAAAAAACATCACAGCCACAACTAAGCCCTTCTGGTATAGAGGTTAAGGTGCGGGACTAGAAGTAGGGAGATATAGGTTCAAATCCAACCTCAGCCACATAAGTTCACTGAATGATGTCAGGCCAGTCACTTTCTCTCTCAACCCAATTTATGTCAAGGGGCTGCTGTTCTGGGGACCACTAGAAGAAGGGAACATTATCCATGCTGCTTTGATCTCCTGAATGAAAGGCAGTATTATATATATGATATATACTGTACATTCTCCTTCAAGTAAGTCTTGACTCCTGCCAACATTTTCAGAAGTGGTTGGCCATTGCTTTCTTCCTAGGGCTCAGAGGAAGTGACTGGCCCCAAATCCCCCAGATGGCTTTGTGCCTAAGGTGGGACTAGAACTCACATTCTCCGAGTTTCTAGCCTGATGCCTTCACCACTATGCCAAACTGGCTCTCAATAAATAAATATCCTTGTGCAAATGTTGCAAAGGAATATTCTTACCTTGCAATATAGTGATTGCCACTAGATTAAAGTCTGCATCAATCTCTTGCTATGCTGGCAATGTAAGATCAGGGACATGTCGGCCAGTTATCTAGCTAGTTGAATAATAGAGCTTCTGTTTTGCATAGAGTAAGTCCAATCCTGGCATCTCCAGTTAAAAGGTTCCAGTAGCAGACATAGGCAGTACATCAGTCCCATCATTTGCACAATGATGACAAGGTGCATGAGATATCACTTCTGCCCCTAATGACCATGGTAGCAGATGATAGGACAGATGTGATAAGACAGATGAATCCATGGAGGGCTAGATGGAGCTGTCTACATCCCTAGAGCTGAAGGTGACTTGTGTGTGGCTCTCATCATCTGTGATGGCTTCCACATTAAAAAGAGGATTTTAGATGCAGAGAGGCAGACATCCACATACTTCTCTGCACTGCAATCATAGAAATCAGAAAGGGCCATGGATGGAGTCCAACATCTGCTCAGCACAGGATTCCAAACTAAAGCATCCCAAAGAGATGGTTCTCTAACCTCGCTTAAACACTTCCAATAAAAGGGGGACTGTTATGTTTCTGGATCATCGTCCAGCAAGGAAGCATTTCCTGAAATTTAACCAGAATGTTTATTATTTTGCATCCTGATTTCTGGAAAGATAGAAAAGGAACCTTTTTGTGTGAGGCACCCCCATCAGGTACTTGGAGCGCTATCATATCTCAATCTGATATTCACAAGGCTAAACCAACCCGTCCTTCAACCTCTCCTCGAGATGAACGTGACCAACATAGAGTGAAATATTTACCTCCTATCATTTAGTAACCCTCCTTGTCTTGATGCAACCTAAAAACACATTTCCCTTTTTAGTGGTTGTGTCACACGGCTGACTCAGTTTTTATCCATTTGGGCAGTGCGGTACTTCAAATTCAGTCTCAGAAAGGTGTCTCAGAGCTCGTGGGAGTGTGAATGTTGCACCTCCCTGCAATGCTGAAAGGCAGGAAGCTGTACTTTTCCAAGATATTCAGGGATGGAGAGCCCAGCATATTACTGGATCATTGGCACTACCTTCAAGGTCACCTTTGGGTCATTGGCACTACCTTCAAAGTCACCTTATAGTTAGGAAATTTTATTCTTGGTCAAGATCAGCCTTCCTGTAACATATATCCATTATTCCTTTTTCTCCATTCTTGGATGAGACGCCACGTCTTGACCTTCTCTAGGAGATTTTTGCAGCCACCACGTGTAGCTACGTCAATCTCTGCTCATAGGATTTAGTTTCTAGTCCCTGTTCATCCCCTTGGCTCTTCTCTGCCCTTGTTCCATTTCCATTAATTCCTCATAACATGAGTCAAGAACTGGGAAAAGTCCTTCAAGTGAGGAGTCAGATCAAAGCAGAATGCAGTGAAACTGACGATGGCCAGGACTGGAAAATAGATTTCAAGTTAGTTGATGCAGGGGCATCCATAGGGGAGGCAAGGCAGTTATTGTGTGTCATGGTGGTGCAAAATGGGGCAAGTACATGATTCATGTCATCTCTCCAACAATATCATGACACACATGACTTCATCACAGCTTCTTCTGATGCAGCCTAAAACTGCCTTTTTTTTCCACTGCCATATCACATGCTGTAACATTTAATATTAAATATAAAAATATAGAATTATATATTTAATATTTAATTTGCAGGCAAGGGCTATTTCAAGATCTTTTTCACACCTGCTGTTATTGAACAAGCAACGTCCCCATCCTGAACCTACGCATTTGATGTGGGTTCCCTCAACAAATAAGGAAGCCTATCCCATGTAACTATGCTGTACTTTGGGAACTGCATTTCTGCTCCACTTGGTGTCTGAGCCAGATTTTACTCCTCTCTACAAGCAAGTACGCCAGCTCCCATGAAGGAAAACCTAAGACTTGCATCACTTCCTTGCCAACAATCACATAAAGGAATCCCACAATGTGCAGGCAACTAATAATAAAATGGGAAAGACTCAACTATTTGCTGAATTCAAAGTGCTTTACGTATATGCACAAACAGGCTCATCCAGAAAGGGAAAGTGGGAAATTCCATCTATTCTTTTATGCACGCAACCTTTTTAAGAGTTACTTAAAATGGACCCCTGCAGACATCTGGGATGCTCACTAATTGTTGAAACACCCTGGATTAGATTTCAGTTCCACTGAAATCGAGAAGAAAATGTTCCCTGTGATGTTCAAGTGGTGACTCTTTATGGAATAACAGGAGGAGCAGCACATAGGTGTAATGCTATGAGCAACTGAGAAGTGATCAAGCCATGTCTTAACAGACCCATCTCTCATCGTGATTCAGGAAGAGATTACTGCCCTAAGTGCTACAGATATGGCTACCACCATAAAGGGACAAGCATAAAGGGACAAGCAGAGGCCAGCAAACACTGGGTAAAATGTTGGGTTAAAAACTTGCTTAATTCAAGGAAACTTAGGAGAAATGATGCTTCACTCATTTGGCCCATGGACTTTGGAGTTAATGAGTGAAAACAATATTCTGAAGCATGTTAAGTGTGTCTAAGCTCCACGGATATCAACAACATGCGAGTTGTGCAGAAAAACACTTCAGTTCTCTGGGTACTGGAATGTATAACACTCTCTGGCTTCTTACATAGATGCAAGTGCAGGTGGCGGGAGGGCAGGGAGGTCATCTGCCAAATGTCAAATGAACAGAATTAATCAGCCTACTAGGGTGACATGGGAGAGAACAAAATGGACAACCAAGAGTGAATCAGCTAAAATTGCAAAGAGGAATGATCCGAAAGCATGCACCCATTGCAAACGGCATCATTCTAGAAATGAGTGTTGTTCTGCTCACAAAAATGCAGCCTGTGTCCCTCCACATGTCTGCAGTGTTTTTGCTCTGGCATTGACCTGACCCTTGGCTTATTCAGCAATAGTATTTTTCATGATTTTAATCATGGAAGAAATCCCCTGTACCCTTTAGAGCATAAAGTCATGCAAAACCCTGTGCAAAACGTAGCCGCTCAGTTTTGGCAGCATGAGGAGAACTGCATCACCCAACTGTGTGAAATGGCGGAGAACGAGGTCGACTAATACCAGCATGCACGACAGCCATTGGTGGTGGAGGGAGGGTGAGGTTGATTGTTTTTGCTTTTGCGAAAGGAAGCTTTGGGCATGTATAATAAGATATACAAAGTTTAAGTTCACATGACAAGAAAAAGCCAGCCTGTGTCTCCACCCTCCCCATCCCCAACCCCTTAGAGAAGTTTAAATTGGCTTGCTTGAAGGAGTCCATATTGAATCAGAAATCCCATCCCCTGTTGAGGACAGAGGCATAGAACCACTTGGAGTGAAAGGGTCAGTATCTGTGTCTGTTTCACCCTCAGCCAAATAGCGTTTTTCTTTCATCCAACTTGTTCCTCCATTTGGCCCGAAAAGGAAGTCATCTTTGTCTTGAGAGATGCTAAACCCACTTGGTGAGCGTTCAAGTTCCTCATGATTGACAGAGAGCAGGGATAGGGGGGTGTCACTGTCTCTTGTCATGCTTTGCCTCTGCCTTGAGGAGATTCTGTCCGAATGGGGGCTCCAGAGCTCTCTCGGCGGGGACTGAAAGGAAAGATGAGGGTCCATGAAAGTCAGTATTGGTAGAACTGTGGGCCTTTCTGAGTATGTAGTTGAGAATGGCATGGCTTGCCATCTGCCTGAGTTCTGCTCACTCAGTGGCAATGAAAGTGGACTATGACCACAGTCCTGGGTTGAGAATCCAAAAGGAGGAACTTTGTTCACAGGAACATGGTGGAAGCTTGGAGACAACTCATGAATGGAAGGCTTGGAGTATTTGTAAATGATGGATTTCAGTTCAGAAAATCGGTTATCGTCAGCTGGGGATGTTGCTTCTTTCAAAGGACACGCTTCGGTGACTTGGACTTGCAGCTGTCCCATATGCTGCTTGTGCATATCTACTAAAAAATCCAGCTTCTTCCCCATGTCATGGACCTAGAAGACAACAGTCATCAGAACTCAACTGGAATAAATAGTTGGCTTTCCAAAATAAGAGCAAACTATGCTCAACTGAAAAGTGACTTATCTCAAGTCAGACTACTAACCCCATACTGCCTACACTAGTCCTGCCAGATCCAGGGAGCGTCTCTTCAATGGGGGAGACACCACCATCTCTTTTAAGGCAGAGGGTATAACCTACTCTCAAAGAGGTCTTTGCTATCTCCCAGATCCAATTTCTCACACCCTCCCACACTTCTTAAAGGAACAAAGTGAGGCATGGATCTAGCCCACATTTAATAGAACTCATACCACTGATCACCCTATTTCTTCAAAGTCAACAAGCTGAAACAAATACCTGGTAAGCTTGCAAGTTACTACCCCACTCACCTCCCCCAATTATGCCCACGCAGGGTCCAGGCCAGAGCTGATTACAATGGTATCTGTGAAGTGCTTCCCCAAAATCTCACTCTGGCTCTCCAAAAGATCTTCCTAACTCACCAAATGGCATAGTTCACCCTAAATAGGCCATAAATGCACAAAATGGGGATACGTTGCTGTCTTTATTCCCATGGTGTAGGCTTGAACATGTACTCTTACTCATGTCCACCCCAACTCAGTCTTGGTCTTCTTCCATAAGCACCAGGCGTCTCTGCTGTCTCTTTCTCTCCCTAAGTTCCTCAGTAAATCAAGAAGCTTCCTAGGAGTGGTGTGCCTGGAGAACCTGCTTAGCTGTGATCTCATCAAACATGATCTCATCAAGAGCCATGTTGGCGTAGTGGTGAAGATACTGGCCTAGAAAGCAGGAGACTGTAGGTTCTAGGTCCCTCTTAAGCATGAAAGCCAGCTGGGTGACTTTGGGCCAGTCACTCTCTCGGGCCAGTCACTCTCTCAGCCAAACCCACCTCAATGGTGGTTGTTGTGGGGAAAACAGGAGGCAGGAGTACTAGGTATGTTTACCGCCTTCAGTTATATATAAAAAGGTGGGATAAACATTTAATAATAATAATGATCCCTGAGGACATCTGCCTTTTCCACCAGATCAGATAGGGTAGCCACGCTGCAGGTCCCTTTCCCTAAACATTGCTACCTTGTGAGTTCTTGGAAGCATGCCTTTTCTGTTGCAGCCTCTGCTCTGTGGAACACCCTCCCACTTGAGATCTGACCCTGATCCAGGTCTCCCACCCTTTTGACCTTCTGAAAAGCATTTAAGAGGTAGCTTTCCCCCCAGGTGTTGGGATAGGGTGAGGTTAGAGTGGGAGGAAAATGTGCGTTGCCTCAGGGAAGTATGGTGGTGGCACCAGGTCTTTCTGTTTTTGGTTGTACTGTTTTCTGTTTTTATTGTTGTATATATTGTTTTACCCTTGGGTTGTAAGCCACCCAGAATTTGGTTTTAAGATAGGCAGCTATACAAATGTTTTAAATTAAATAATTAATTCAACGTTCTGGTCACCAATAAATTACAGAGATCAACCAGTCTCTGACCAAAACTATCTCCGAGATTGCTGAGAACATCCCAAAGCACCCTCTGGAATCCATCTGGATTAATCAGGTGCCTGGGTTGGACTATCCTAACTGGTCTTTTATCCAGCTGCAGCCTTCAGCAGTGATGGCAACCAGACAATGATCTGGCCACAGCAGAAGACTAACCCAGATATCCTCCAATTTTAGATCACATATCAACTGCTTAGAGATAAACATTAGCTCTATCGTAAGATGTCTGGGTGTCCTGGGCGTGAAATTATTTGGGACCAGCCCATAGTTGCTATGGTGCCCTTAAATTTCTGGACTCACCCAGGGTCTTCCCACAGGGCATGGAGGTTAAAGTCCCCCAGTGTTAAAAGGTGAGAATACCCTACCAGCAGTCTGGAGAGAAGGACAGGAAGGATCCTGCCATGTGGCAAGGTGGATGGTGCATAGGTAGGATCCCTAGCTTATCCCCATGACCCAAACTTACAAACAAGCATTCATACATGTCACCTGCAAAGCAAGAACCCTAGTTACTGCAAAATCATCAGGTATATGTATAGTTGTCTTTACCTGCCCCTCCCACCCTAGAATTGTGGCTGATGCTGGACTCAAAACTTCAAGGTCTCAGAAATACATACCGGGTCTCGACACTCATCTATGATAGAGTCATGGAAAAACATGGTTCTAGCATTTACGAGAAGGAATCTAATGCCACAACCACCAGCAATCTGGCCACCTTAGCCACTTTGAGGTAGCTGAGCCAGAGAAGGACCTGGGCATCAAATTGCCTATATCCATTTCCCTAGAAGAGCCCACCAGCTCCTTCTGGAAGCATATTAAGCTTGGTTAACATTCAAAGTATGACATATTTTGTTGTTTAGGAGTCGGGGGGCCTTTAAATTAAGTAAGTAAATAAATATTGGGATCCAAAGTGGGCAAAAGTGCCTTGGATCTGGCATGGGCACCTTTCTGTCTCTGCTGGCAGGTCTGAAAGAAGCAGGGCCTTTTCCTGGGTCTACATGATAGCCGTGTGGGTGCAGGATACTCACTGGCATGACAGAGGCATGACAAAGGTGTAAGTCCTTTAAGGTGCTCTAGCAGGTCCAGAGAGGGTGTCTATACCAGGTCTGAAGAACTTTTGCTCTCTTTGGATCTAAATATCATACCCTTCTGGTTAGTGTTAACCTTGGTTAGGTTTTTCATGGCTTAGCATTCGCTTGAACCTGCTCATGGCCTCCTTGCTTCCAGAATGGCCCCCTTTCTTTTAGCAGTGAAGCAAAGCTTGTTTCATTTCACTCAACTTCACATTCTTCATGGTTTCTCCAGCAGCACTAGCCAAGTGCTGCTGGAAAAGGTGCTTCTCACAAAAAGCACTGGCATCATTGCAGAAGACCTCTTTGTTTGCCTCCTCCAGATCACCCACTAAAAGACAGTCCTCTTCTGTTTTGGTCCTTACAAGAACTTAAGAAGTGCCTGCTGATCAAAGCAAAAGTCTGACTAATCTGGCATCCTGTTTTTTAAAATGGCTGAACGGTTGTCACCAAGAAGTCCACAAGCCAAGCTTGTAGAGTCTTCTGCCACTGCTTTCTCGATTGCTTGCAGTCATGCTAGTAATTACTGATGAATGATGTGCTGTCCCAGAACTTGGTAAGTTCTATAACTAGTTACTAGAGCAAGCGGTCATTGCTGGAGACACCATCGCACACAGCCTGGAATAGGCAACCCTGTGGTGAAGTCATCAGTTTTATTGATTCTTGATAGTTCTGATCACCGCAGCAACTATGCGTCTAGAAAGAAACCAATTCTTGAGGGCTGAAGGAACTAGATAGAAACTGAATCTTAACTTAAAGGCTATCCACTGTATCACAAATGAATCACAACATGTTATAATATCTCAGTTATGAAGGAGAAAAACACAGACACAAATTGCTGAGTGCTTCATACCTGTCTTTCAACTCTGACAAATTTGCCCATCATGCTTTGGTCTTCAGGATCGTCTGTGGATGGTTTACTTATGAATGGCTCATTCCTAAAAGGGGATAAGATTCCATTTTACACATAGGCAAAACCACCCAAATCCTTCCTACAGATATTTCTACTTCACAATGCATTTACACAGCAGGTTCTTGGCAATGTCATTTCAAAGGAGGGTTTTCTGAAATGCTAGTCAACACCCATAGTTTGGATATAACAATTACCACTGTCCATGTTGAAGCATTATTATTCTGCAGAATTACTGTGCATTCTTGTCCTGTACAACAGCCAAAGATAAGTGAACACAGTTTTATACTACACAGTGTACAACCATGCAACCTCAGTGTTACATATTATGGTGTCCCAAGTTTGCTTTTGTATCTGATAGTAAATCAGTTCAGTAGATCAATCTGTTGGTGAAAAGCAGCATCCTTGGATGAAGAGTTGATGAAATATTTTTGATTCTTAAATATCTGTAACAATGGACATCCTTCAGTTTAAATTGTATCAGCACATCTATGGCCCACGTTACATTGGCACTTAGTGGAAATGGGAAAAATGATGGCACCAGGGAAAAATGATGTAAATGTAGCTTTCAGTGAGTGGCACCCCAAAAAATGTCACCTTGGAGACTGCTGTGAAGGGTAAGAGAATGTTCCTCCCTTTTGAGATTTTCTGTGTCTGGGAGTAGATGGAGGTCCAGGTGCAAAAACCATATCTATTCTGAAAGAAGATAAAAATAGAACATAAGGACTCCTACGTCTAGTCATATTATATACTGTATAACCCATTAACCTGTCCCAAGGACTTAGTGCACTAGCGGAACCAAGGCCATCTTACCTTGCCTGAAGGTATTTGATTCTGGAAAGCATGTCAAGATGTCCAGCTGAATATTGCTCTATCACATCCTTGACGTCATAAGGCCTCAAAGTCTCCTTGAATCTTTTCTTATACAGGCGGAACTGTAGTATCCTGGTACAAGAAACAATTACAGAAAAGATGCTTCTGTGTGAGCCTGGTTTTCTATTACTATTCAGATACAAAGAATCCCTGATGCTCCATCTTGACCTCAACTGAGTGCAAGCTGGAGATGACTTCAAGCCCATGGAAATCCAAGCATGCTAGAACTCCAAGAATGAATAGATGTGAACCTGGAACCACTGGCTTAGTAGCAACTTTTGCATAGTTGCTTCAGGTGGATGGATGTCATTTTACACTTCCTGATTTCTGCATCCCTAGGCAAATCGCTACCTGACTGTGCCAAGTTGATTTCTGTGGTTCTGTTTCTCTCAGTTGTTAACTGCTGAAATGGAGTTTCCAATAAACTAACCGTCATAATCTTCACTCTGCTGTTTTAGTAAAAACACCCAAAACATACAGCATAATCCTAAAACCATGTAAAATAATAAAAACCAGCCATTTCTAACAGTAACCATTTATGTGAAATACTTATCAAACATTAAGACTTCTTTCAGAGGAAAAACTAGTGCGAACACTAAGAACAGCTGCCTTATTAATATTAAATGAAAGTGTAATTAATAAGTACTAAGAGAGATAATAAAATGAAAACAGCCAAAGAATTCCCATGTAGTTAGTAATAAATAATCCAATCAAGCAGTAAGAATATGGGAATACGCATAAGCCAAAATCTTATTCCAGCTGAGATAGGTTGAGACAATTCATTCACATTGCTGATTTGAATGGGTAGATCTAACTGATCAGAAATGTGCATCAGCTGTCAGATCAATCTAAAAGCATCTGATTTATTTATTTATTTATTTGTTTGTTTATTTAATAGACTTGTCCCTGCCCATCTCCCCACAGCGGGGGACTCTGGGATTTGATGGAGTGAAAAGATCTGCACATTTGATTCAAAGGAGTGCTTTGATTAAATCCTCTTCAAATCAAACTTTCAAAGCAAGGTTTGTGCAGCCTCCATAAGCAGTTTGCTACAACCCACTGAGAATAAATGTGAGTTAATTTAATGGACTATAACAATGACACTAAGTCTAGCCCAGTTGTTGATAAGTTCCATTCATAATGGATTACGGTTAAAAATCCTTCTCTTTATGGTTGCCAAACTAGCTCTTCTTAGCAGGAAGCAGGTAAGGGGGACATCAGCTAATAAGATCACTACAGCCATTTAAAAATAAAAACTAATTATTTAAAGCAATGAAATTAGTAGTTAATGTCACAAAAGCTGTGCAAGACATTTTGAACTCAAAATGTTTCAAGCTTGAAGTGCCCCAAAGTAGCTGTTTCTAGTTCAAAACATACTTCAAAACATTGCTGGAAGCATCTGGACTATATTCAAAGCCATTTGGAGTAGTTTTGCTATGGTTCAAGCACGGTTTGGGGCGTGACATAGCCTATTTTGAGCTCAGATGCTCAAATCTGCCTTGATTGCAAGCTGTGTGAAAAATAAGTTGCAGTGATTTTTTTTCAAAACTGTAACCTGATTTTAACCACACATGCACACACACACTGGCAAGCAGCACAGATTTTACCTAACAGCTCGGATGACCATCTTCAGTGTGGGGATCAGGTCTTCTATGAGGAGCTCATTGCTGTATCCTCTGTCTTCTGCCAGAGGATCCCCTGTTCCAGCATCTAAAACGTGGACCAGATGGATCCACATAGACAAACCAGATGCGGAAGAGATTAGAACAATGCGAAGTCGCTCACACAATATTTGTTATGTCTTCTTCAGGTTGGAATCACCAAAAAAACCCCAAGCCCGTGGATCCTGAACATTCTCCAATTCGCAGATGCAGAAGTTAAAAAAAAAAATGTGTTGGATTCAATATGCCAACCTATCCTGGGTACCACCATTTCACTTATATAGAATCAAGCTAATATTATGTCAAAATCTGTCTTCCAATTTCCTGAAAAATTTCTTCCTGAGTTTGTGGAGTCCTTGGGGTTCTCTGAGCTTGGTTCTTTTCTTGCAAACGTTTCATTACCCGACTAGGTAACAACTTCACTGCTAAAATGGGATGGGGTTTGCTCTCTATTTATGTGCTGTGGCCTGCCTTGCCAGTGCTGGTAAGGGTGGGGGTTCTGTTTTGCGCCTCTGGTAGTTCTTTGGTTAGCATA